GGCGCCCACTCTGACATCTCGTCACGTACCATGACTCGTTGTTGCCTCCCTGTCAGGTATTCTCTGATCCATTGCAGTGACTTTCCTGTTATGTGTGCCTGATCCTCTAGCTTTTGCATTAACCTCTTGTTAGGAACTGTGTCGAAGGCCTTCTTGCAATCCAAAAAAATGCAGTCGATCCACCCCTCTCTCTCTTGTCTTACTTCTGTCACCTTGTCATAAAAAACTAGTAGGTTTGTGACACAGGATTTTCCCTCCCTGAAACCATGCTGGTTGTCAATTATACACTTGTTTCTTTCCAGGTGCTCCACCACTCTCCTCATGATGATCTTCTCCATGACCTTGCATACTATACACGTTAGTGATACAGGTCTGTAGTTTAGTGCCTCATGTCTGTCTCCCTTTTTAAAAATTGGGACTACATTTGCCATCTTCCATGCCTCGTTGAGTTGCCCAGTTTCAAATGATGTGTTGAAGATCTTTGTTAACGGTACACACAGTATCTCTGCTCCCCCTTTAAGGACCCACGGAGAGTTGTTGTCTGGTCCCACCGCCTTTGAGGTGTCAAGTTCGCATAGCAGCTTCTTCACCTCCTCCTTGGTTATATGTACCTCATCCAGCACTTGCTGGTGCACCCCCCTGCTCTGATTTCCTGGAGTCCTACTGGTTTCCACTGTAAGTACTTCTTTAAATCTTGTGTTGAGCTCCTGACATACCTCCCGGTCGTTTCTTGTGAATTCCCCATCACCCTTCCTCAGTCTGATTACCTGGTCCTTGACTGTTGTTTTCCTCCTGATGTGGCTGTACAACAGCTTCGGGTCAGTCTTGACTTTCGATGCTATGTCATTTTCGTATTGCCGCTGAGCCTCCCTTCTTATCTGTGCATATTCGTTTCTGGCTCTTCGGCTAATCTCTTTATTTTCCTGAGTTCTCTGTCTTCTGTACCTTTTCCATTCTCTAGTACACCTAGTTTTTGCCTCCCTACACCTTTGGGTGAACCAAGGACTCGTTCTGTTCTTCCCATTATTTCTGTTTCCCTTGGGAACAAACCTCTCCTCTGCCTCCTTGCATTTTGTTGCCACATAGTCCATCATTTCTTGTACTGGTTTTCCTGTCAGTTCCCTCTCCCACTGAATGTCTTGAAAGAAGTTCAAGCCTAAGTAGTTCCTCCTTTGGTAGTTTGGTTTTTCCCACCCTATTCCTGCTGCTCTCTCCACTTGGAGCTCAACTATGTAGTCGAAGCACAGAACCACATGATCACTATCTCCCAGGGGCCTTTCATACATGATATCCTCGATGTCAGAACTACTCAAGGTGAATACAAGGTCCAGTCTTGCTGGTTCATCCTCTCCTCTCTCTCTGGTAGTGTCTCTTAACATGTTGATGCTTGAGGTTTTCCAGTACCACATCCATCATCTTGGCTCTCCATGTTTTGGGACCCCCATGGGGCTCCAGGTTTTCCCAGTCAATCTCCTTGTGATTGAAATCACCCATAACTAGTAACTTTGCTCCCCCCATGTGTGCTCTCCTGGCCACCTCGGCTAGTGTGTCGACCATTGCTCTGTTGCTCTCATCGTATTCTTCTCTTGGCCTCCTGCAGTTCTGTGGTGGGTTGTACATTACTGCAATTATCACCTTATGTCCCTCAGACTGGATTGTTCCTACTAATTACCTACTGATTACCTCATTCTCCTCCTGTTCTTCAAGTTTCTCCTACGTATGGACTGATGAAGCCACTGTGTGGCGAAACGTTTCCTGTGCCATCCATTCCTTCCATTTTCTCAAACCCCCACTGGTTTTTAATGAGCAGTGCAACTCCTCCTCCCCCTCTCCTCCCTCTGTCTTTCCTGAGGATTTGATATCCGGATGGAAAGATTGAATCTGTTATTATTCTGGTGAGTTTTGTTTCTGTGAGTGCTATTATGTCTGGGGATGTCTCCTTGATTCTTTCGTGCCACTCATACTTATTTGTTATTCCATCTGCATTTGTATACCTCACCTTCAACTTCTTTTCTAAGACTGTGGTCTGGGAGGTGTATTGGGGTTGAGGAAGTGGAGACCTGATAAGGAACTATGGGTGGTTGCTGTGGGGGTGGAGTTTGTAATGCAATGGGTGGGGGCATTGGATGTGGCATGGGTGTTTTGGTTTAGAGTATTTGGTTGCACTGGGGTTGACCTGGTGTGTGTGTGTGTGTGTGTGTGTGTGTGTGTGTGTGTGTGTGTGTGTGTGTGTGTGTGTGTGTGTGTGTGTGTGTGTGTGTGTGTGTGTGTGTGTGCGCGCGCGCGCGCGCGCGCATGCGCATGTTTTGTGTTTTACAGGAATAAGAACCATTAAGAAACAGAAAATACTTCTTCAAAAGATCTGCATGATTTACCTGCCATTCTGAATGTTCATGAGACAAAAATAAAAAGACCAAATGATGATAATCATAACTGACAATAAAAGAAATAAAAAATAATAAAGGAGAAAAAGAAAAGGCAAACGCAGAGAGGATGATGATACCTCATTCCACCCTGACTCCCTCCCTATTTCCTCTGCAATAATTCTTTCATCTCCTCCGCTAGCATATTTTACCCTTCAGGAGCTTCAAGTAAAACTTAACCATGGATGGACACAGGATCCATAAAGGACACATGGCAAGGCAAAGGAGGCAATGCTCTTATCTTCTCTCTCCTTAACATGATGCTCATAATAACCCTGGGTCCCTGTATTGTTTCTTGCTGCTCCTCTACTACCGTACATTATGCATGAATCAACTATATTCTACATATACAATACATTAATGCTTCAAGTTATCAACATGATAAATTTGAAGGGATTAGCTAAATTTTTTTGAAGGATGTAATTAAAGATACAAATAACCAGCACATAAGAGAAAAACTTATGGTGACGTTTTGATCTACTAGTTAATGATAAAAGTCAGACTGAAATGTCTTCAAGAAGGCGCTGGACAGGCACCTAAATTCAGTACCTGACCAGACAGGCTGTCGTTCATATGTCGATTTGCGTGCGGCCAACATTAACAGCCTGGCTGATCAGGCCCTGATCCACCATGAGGCCTGGTCACAGACCAGGTCGCAGGGGCATTGACCCCTGAAACCCTCTCCAGGTATACTCCAGGTATAAGTTGCTTTCTCCTATGTCTGAGTTATTTGCGCATTATTCCAGTCACAGTATTGTGCCTTTTCATTCTTTACATAATTAAAGGTAAAAAAGATTAAAATCTCAGAACCCCCATTCTATATCTGTGAGTGTTTAGTGGTTATATTACAGAACATCTTGACTGTACTACTTTCTAATGAAAATGTAGCGTATCAACTGACGGAAAAAAAAACACCTAACTGAAAATTCTGCTTAAAAAAGGTCACTAGATGGACCAATGTCCTATTTCAATGGAGAGTTTTATTTCATGAATATTGTATACGTGAGTGTGTAGTGTATTTACAGTTAATACAAAGAGGTATTTTCCAGATATCAAGAAATAAGTAGAAGCAAAAAAGTGGGAAAGTTAAGAAAGTTAAAAGGAATACAACCAGGAATACTTAGTAGGCCTAAAATTCAATCAGCCTTCTAGTTTCAAATACAGTACTGTATTTCACAGTTAATAACTTGGTTCTAGGGATTTACAGTAATACATACTTATGTTAGTAAATGTAGTGTACTTACATCCTCTGGAGACATAACTCCATACTGCCGGTGTTGATACTGCGGCTGATTTGATCCCCTCTGACAATTTGTCCGCTGCTGGCCAGCCAAGTGGAAGCCATCCTCAGTTGTTGTCTTCTTGTAAACTGGGTTGTCGAAGTTCATGCTGTGCACAGATCGTTTGCGGAAGTAGCGGTAGATCATGTATGCCATCTGCAGTTGGTTAAAAACGACAATATTCTACAACTCTGCTTAATTACATAAAAGACAAGGTCAGTTAAGACAGAACTACTCCAACATTTTCAAGTTCTACACAAATGTACATCTCACAGCTTGATGCTCAAATGAAAGAAAGCATATGCTCGAGTAATCAGCAAAATTACATTAAAATTATCCTCCAAGAATTAGACACATGCATTAGCAAACACTGGAAAAGAAGTACGAACAAGATATAGTAGGGAAAACGCAAGAGGAAAGGGGAGGGTAGGAAAAGCGACATGTCAAGAAGTCGGGAGGTAGAAAGAGGAAGTAGCAAGAATAATAGTAAGCAAGAGGAAAGGGGAGATATTACAAAGTAGTCACAGAGATAGCAAAATACAGCAGATACTTCAAGGGCATAAGAGAAAAAATCAAAGATGCAGAAATACTTCACCCTTCATATCACCGACTTATTCCAATAAAAAAGTAGTCCTTTGTGTGAGCTCAAGTGATAAAACTAAATAAAAAAAAAAGTACCTGAAATCCAATATGAACCAAACAATGCAAAATTTTGGCACATTGGTGAAACAAAACAGAAGTGAATAAAGTGCATTATTTTCTTCACGGGTCAAATTGCTCATTTCCTCTACCAAGCGCCAATACAACGGATGAACACTGTTTAGGTTACTCTATTAGCTAAATTTATTTTGGTGATACTGATAAATTAATTTATAATTGAATAATGATGTGAATGATGCTGGTGTGTGCGATGTTGGTATGTGTGATGCTGGTATGTGTGTGATGCCGGTATGTGTGTGATGCTGGTATGTGTATGATGGTACATGTGTGACGCTGTGAGTGACAATGGAGTGTGTAATGTGGGTAGTTGACAATGGAGTGTGTAATGTGGGTGAGTGACAATGTAGGGTGTAATGCTGGTGTGAATAACGAGATGAATGGCGTGAAAAAAAAGCTTCCTATCCATCGGTTTGTGTGTGAGTGAAGAGTGTGTGACTTACGGCTGAGGCGATGCAGAGGACGCCTAGCGCTGCCAGGATAGCAGCCACCGCCACGTTGCCTTCTTCCCCTTCTGCAGGAGACTCGATCTGGGGCGGAGCCTGCTTCATCTCGGGTACCATGGTGCTGCTAACTTCTTCTGCAACAAATCAATGCAACGTATTAGAAAATCAAATAAGACGACCTAGTAATGTTCGTGATATTTTTTTACTAAATGCATAACAATAAGTACACATTTATGTGCCTACCTACTTGTATATCATTCTGCAGAGTACAATTTATGGATCACCATTAGCAACAATACCATATTTACCTTAAAAAAATAGTATCTTTTACTAAAAGTAATTTGGAAACAAATGTTCAATACTGCAAATCCTGTACTCCTAATAAATAAATAAAACAGCTGTGACTCGATCCCTGTAACCATAAATCGATTAATGAGTACGTGCGTGCACGCACGCACACACACACACACACACACACACACACACACACACACACACACACACACACACAGTATAAAATACTGATGAAAGCAAAATGCTTGGATAATAGACGACTGCTCCTCGGCGTATTACTACAATTTTAGTTTGAATTTTAAAATAATAAGTTATGTAATCTAACGAAACTAAACATATTTAACCCAACCTAAAACAATCTAACCTTAATGACCTTATTCTGTCACCGGTAGATATGCGAATGACATGTACTAATCGTTGATTAACTTGGAAGTGCTGCACCACCTAAATATTTTCGCTAATATTTCCCGCGGAAATGCTTGTAGACAGCTAAGCTCTAATGGTAATGACTAGTGTTATAGAAGAAAAATAGGAGAGGGGGGTAGCCCTCTCGTCCACTTTTTTTTAGTGACAAAAAAAAAAAAATAAAACGCCAACACTCAAAGCCGTTACTACTACCATAACTACCACCACCAGTCCCGTCCCTCTTTCTCTCTTTTGGTTTTTCTCGCATAGTTATAACTTGATAATGGTTCCAAACGTTAGGAAATGTCGTCCTCAGTTCTCTCTTAAGTGTGGGGTTATTGTTGAAAAAGAGGAGTTTCAGAGTACTCAATTAAAAGAAAAGACAAAATGATGTAACGCCAGTGCACGAAGATGCGTTTGACAGTAGTCTAGAGAGAGCAGTCAACTAAAAATCTCGAGACAAGAAGCCCCTGTAGGAAAAAACGTATCCTCAATGTCTCGATAACCGCAAACGTGTCTCAGACATAACTGTCGGTGTTGATCACTAAGTTTGAAGGAATCAGGTTTGATGTAAGGTGATGAATGTTACAACACGCTCATTTACGTCAGAGCATCTGAATACAATATGACAGGAAGTCACATACTTGTTAAAAAAAAAAAAACGCTACTAGATTTGTCTGTACAAAACCCGCTACATCTAGTATGAACATAAAAGCAAATTAAGTCCGTCTGTTACTGCGTCACAGGACATTCAAATGCCCATGTGATCCTCTTCACAGGATCAGTCGATCATAATGAAAGATTTTATTGTTGCTTAGAGAATCTCAGATTATTATAGTTTTGGAGATGCACTAAACCCATTGGGGCCATACAGCACTTGGAGAATGGAAGGTCATCAGGTTTGATCTGGCGAAGGGGAGTGTAGCTCCAATTCCTTAGATCAACAGCCCCTTAGCCGATCTCCAGCACCCCTTTAAGGGTGAAATACTGACCCTGTTTGTCATGTTTGTAAGTACTATTTTATACAGGCTGTGTGATCCTGTACATTTGTATAATGAGGGTTTGTTTTCTGGCACGACATGAATAATATGTAGTCACATTATTTAGTTTAAACAAAACGCGTAGCGTTTTGTTTAAACTAAATAATGTTTATAGTACTAGAGAGATCTAAACAGTCTCCTTTGTGTGTTTTGTGGAACCTTACGACCAGGACAATTTTTTCATTTAACCAAATGGTATTTTTTTTAAGACTGTTTCAGGAGGGCTACTTGGCAGATGTAAAAACGGCAAACACAGTTTTCACTGCGTTATAAGTTGTATTAAACATTTTCCCAAACAAAATTTCTTAAACCCAGAGAATTTAGACATTAAATAAAACCTAGTCAGCTTTAGTAAATCTAATATCCTGGTAAGGTTAACTGGATCCCTATATTCTAGTCAAGGATATTAAACTACGATATATTCAATATTTACCGAGATATATTCAGGTTTACTAACCCATTTTTATCGGGGGGCGCTAAGCCCGTAGGGATTATACAGCGCCTGTGGAGGGGGGTGGAAGGCATTCAGGCTCAATTCAGGGAAGTGCAGGGCAGATCCAATTCCGTAGAACAAGAGCCCCTCATCAGCCTCAAGTAACCTCCCTCGTGGGTACTAAATCCAGATTTCTCAGTCAATAACACAATACTTTCAATAATATCCCTTCTAGATGTCCAAGGCTTTCATTCCCACAATATTACCACTACCTCTGCCAGCCATTTTCATTTTAATTTAACAATATAAATTCAAACTCCCCTGCCGTCTCTATATTTAACTTGGACTTATAAGGCAACTGCCAGAGGTACAGCCACTGCATGTTCTGCAGTGAACTTTATTCCCTTCTAGTTTATCATTATTACGGCGTTCGTAATAATGATAAACTAGGCGAGAGAAGTGATGATGAAGTTTCACTATGAAGACAACGAACAACTGGAATGACCAAGATCTCAAGAATCGAAAAGTTGCAAATAAAAAGCAATAGTGTTCGCATTGTGTATTTTTCCAAGAACCTCACGTATCAAACTACGATATACAATAGCCATGATATATAAAAGGTAATACAATAGACACGGCATACAAAAAAACAAGTAGCCACGATACACACAGTTCGCGTTACTTGCAAAAAAATAGGGAAAAGCAAAAAAAAGTTTATTTATACCACCGGGAAAAAAAACCACTCGGGTAAGACTGGTAGATTGTAATTTAAAATTTGTAAAATAAAGAGTACCGGGCATCATGAGTGTGGTGAGGGAGAGAGGACGAGGAGACGCTTTCTGGATAAACATCAGCTAGATGTGCCACGCGTGGCATAAAAAACTCATCAAGGACGTTGGAATTTCAAGAGGACTTTGACCAAGGAGATCACTCAGTACGCACACAAAACACTAAATCATCAAGGACGTTGGAATTTCAAGAGGACTTTGACCAAGGAGATCACTCAGTACGCACACAAAACACTAAATGACAAAAAAAAAACGAGATGAGAAATACCAGTTTGACAAGAATCTTGCAAGTCTTCGTGAGAAAAGTACCGTACGAAGCCTTGCGAGTGTTTAAGGACGGACAGACCGAGGTACGTCAATACAAACTTTATAATAAACGCAGGGACAAACTGACTAATGAAGGTACGCAGGATAACAAGAAAAATAAATATTCTCTCTCGGAACAAATGGCGAGGACGTTAACAATGTGCGAGTCGTCTTTCTCACAGATAACTAATACCAGGCAGAAACAGTGGAGAAATCTGCATAAGAGAGCGAGCATGGAAAAGACAACATAAAATCGGAGCCAGCTTTAAATGCTGCCCATATGTCTGCTGAACCCACTTATGCCATGGCTCTAGCCAGTTACTACTACCCCCTCTCCAACCCATCCCCCGTGAAGGATCTCAGAATCATCCTCCCACTGATCCTCTCCATCTGTTTAGATCCTTTTAACAGTTCTGAGTCCTTCACACCGGTTTTCGATAGTTTACAATAGTAACGGATCCTTTATGTTGCAATAAATTCCTTTACACTTATGATGTGCAATACGATTATGCTTATCTTAATTTTAAATTACACACACACACACAATATGTATGTGTATATATATATATATATATATATATATATATATATATATATATATAATATATATATATATATATATATATATATAATATATATATAATATAATTTCACGAAACTAGTGATTTTGAATTGTGGCTTGGCCACGACTCAATCCTGAGTTCCCATGCCCAGCCCTGTGTGAAATGAACGAAGTACACATCTCTATATACTGGACCACCATCCCTGTGAATTGGTGCATATTTTACACTGGTTTAAGATACTTTCGTCAGTATGATCATTTACACTGGTGTAGAATCATTTATGTCAGTACTGCATCCCTTTCGAAAGCTGCTCCAGAATTCCGTTCGTCAACTTAGTATCTATTTGAAAGACCTTTAAAGGCGGTTAGACAAATGAATACTGGAGTACAGCTCCAGCAGCTGCAAGGTTAAGATCGAGAAGCGAGATAAAACGAGAGACGAGTAGCAAAAGGAGCCAGAGCCTACAATTTACATTACCTAAAAAAAAAAAAATAAGTTGGTTGGGGAACCGGCGAGTCCGTAGTATAATCAAACATCACCCGAGGCTCACTGTACCTCGGAGACATTTGCAAGACTTGCTCATCTGTGATCAGTATTCAGGGAGTTGAACAGTCACGTAGGACACTACAGTTTAACCTATGTATACAAACCTCTATAGATGTTCCAAAGGTTTACAGCTTGACTCGACCCAAAGCTGAAACGCGATTAGAGCTGAACCTGACAATTCTGGAGTCGAGGTGGATTAGGAAAGTCATGACTGGTCAAATTCTCAGCAACCTTGATAGGACAGACTGTTCAAAAAGAGAAGAGAGAGCACAAGACAACGTATAGGAGCTAAGAAACCTAAGTCATAAAAAGAAGGCAGGAAGCACTGATTCAGCTTAAGTGATACAAAAGAGTAAGACACTGCTAAATTGGAAATATACAACTTAAAAAAATTTCTTTGTCCGCCCTTGGAGTATTTTACAATTCAGTTTAATATCTCTCAAGCTACATCGACACGTACTGCGCTCTGACTCACTAGCCAAAACATCTAACCGAAACATATCAACGCCCGGTGGCCTGGTGGCTAAAGCTCTCGCTTCACACACGGAGGGGCCCGGGTTCGATTCCCGGCGGGTGGAAACATATCGACGCGTTTCCTTACACCTGTTGTCCTGTTCACCTAGCAGCAAATAGGTACCTTCGTGTTAGTAGACTGGTGTGGGTCGCATCCTGGGGGACAAGATTGAGGACCCCAATGGAAATAAGTTAAGACAGTCCTCGATGACGCACAGACTTTCTTGGGTTATCCTGGGTGGCTAA